CCGCAAAATTGAATTAAATTAAATCGCAACAAATGAGAGAGGGCCGGAGAAAAGGAAATTTTAATGATCGATATCGGGCGAGAATTGCGCGTTTCAGAGAGAATGCACGCGGCAAAGATATCTTAGATTGCTCTCGCGTAAACACAAAGGACCCTCTTAATAATTTGAAGCATTAGCCTCGGTAAAGCTCCTTCGTTCGTCTTTGGGTCCGCGGTTCGTAGACAATCTCGGAGTGTCTGAGCGACTCCAAAACTGGGGTAAACTCACGGATAACCGTAGCCGTTGGTCGATACCCTTGCCCTTAATCTGCCCCAACGTTTCCTGGAAGACCCGCGCCAGCCTGACTCTCGCGACCATAAATTATGTCCTAAACTAATCATCGTTCTCTCGTATATACCCGAGGACCGAGTCCGACATTAGATGTGTCTCACATTTATGACAGCGACGGATTTCTCCCTCATCTCGTTAAATAAGCCCCATCTTTCTCCCCTCGGGCTATCTTCGAGACAGAGATTACCTCCGAATACCACCGAAATGTCTGGCTTATAAAAATTCAACGGTCCGTGAATTCGTCGTCGAATAAAAAAAGATATATACTTTTTTTAGTATAATACAGATAACTCTTCTAATTGATAAATAAATACTTCCAATAAATATTTCCATTTTATTTTATTCTATTTAAATTTCAATTTATCTTGTCGTTTTTTTTTCTCTGGAAGGATGAAAGAGATGTGGTAACCAACGACGCGGCAAGATGCTCGATAATTAGCGCGAGAAATAAAGTTTTCACTGAGAGAAACACTAACGATCTCTCACTTCCGTTTGGTAAACGGTGTAGATATAGTCTTATGAGACCGCCGCAAACATCATTTAACCGAGGAGGAAGGCACGATCATCGAAATGGCAAGACCGGTGCTTCGGTGAATTAGTGCCAATTAAGCCACAACTTTTTAGCTAGCGCAGCATGAATACACGACTGCTACGTAATTTTCTTTGTTCGAGTAATTTTCTTCGCGCGAGTAAAAAATGAAATGATGAAAAAATTTAATTGTCAAAGATCACCCTTTTAACTTTTCTCGTTTTCAATCATCCGTCCAAATCTTACATATTGCAAAAGGTGTACTCTCTCGAATATTTTTACAAATTTTCATATCTTTCCCATATGACGGATGTGAACGTTCATAAGTGCTTATTTTATTATCGCGCAAGAGAAATATAAACGTAGACCAAATAGGTACAAAGTTGCGCACGTGGGTTTTACAATTATTTACATATTTTTCTCGGCGAAAGATTTTCGCTTGAATATAAATCATGAGGAATATATGCTTGAATATAAATCCTCGTCGTGGTACATGAAAGTATGTTGGTCAATGTTGTAAACACGGTTATAAGCGCGAGTCAAGAGGCAGTTTTGACGCGAGACGAGTGAAAAATATATTGGCGATCCATCACGATTCAGAGCCTGCCGAAAGCTCGGCTCGGCTATCCTGGCAGATTCCTTCGAAAATCCATTTAAGAGGATTTCCGACGGCGCTTTAATGGATGCATCAGATAATTGAGAACCGTTTTCGAGCACCTTCTTCTCGACTTGGATTAAGTATATTCACATAGATTCGCACGAACACGCGGCCGCGCAGCTTGAGGAGGATTACTTTCCCTTCGAGCGGCACTTTCGTTCTATTGGATCTCGTCTTTCGTCCTCGCTGTTAAAACTGAGAGGTTTGGGCCTTTCGTCCTCGAGGATCGCGGCAATATATGATGTCGTCTACACATTTTTCCGAGCATTTAATTAGTCGCATGAAACGAGGTCCTCGGAATGAGATTTTTACTTTGAAGAACGTGAGTGAAATGAAAATGTAAAACGTCCCTTTTTTCAACGATAAATCCAGTGAAATAAAATTTATCTGTGTGTGTACGTTTATTATTCGAATTAAATTAAAAATTAGAAGAGTGAAGGCAATATAAAACTATACTAGTTGTCAGTTTAATATATTAAATTTAATTTATGACTCATCAATCTATCGAATGTCTTATTTTTTATGTCTATTATTATTTAATGATAAATTTCTTCTATCTATTTAAAATAAAATTTCTTTTTTATGCGAAAATATTATGACAGATTTAGTTGTTATTAAATGTTATACAATAATACTTATAATATAAGACAAGGAAAAAAAAATAAAAAAAAATAGAAATATTCTGTCATTTATATCATTTATTTTATGTGCACTTCACATAACTTTATGATAGAGTTGGAAGAACTGTATCCATTAATACACTTAAACGTACTATGGAGTACCATTTAAAGAAATAAAATTTACAACCACTATTTCTCAAGGGAGTTAGAAGATGGAGGGAATGAAATTTGGGTCACCTGAAATCTCATTTTTTTTCAGCTGATAAAAATTGCGACGTGAACATTATAATCCATTTACCGATTCCATAGTTATTTATTTGACCCTATATGTACATATTATTTATAATATTCAGTCAGCATTCATTTTTTTTCATTTTGCAAGTAAGAAAAGTCAAGGCTGGTCGTGTCGAATCTGGTGAGCAGACACCCGTGAAAAGATCGGCTCGCACATTTATGCATAAAGGTTTCACAGCGCGCCATAAAATATTCAGATTTTTGAATTGTAGATACCCAACGACGGATGTCGGGGAAAAAAAGTTAAAAGCCGGCGATAAAGCGTTAACCGTTTATTGCTACTTGTGCCTCGAGGGCAAACGGATCGTCCGGGAAATAATTCAATAATAATGGATGAAAACGCGCACCTTTTTGCGCCAGCGCGAAAATACATATACAAATAAAAACATCGGATATACGTGACTTAAAAATAAAATCGATTGCAACGGGAGGAATAATAGAAATGAATAATTAAATAACTTTTAAAACGTACAAGTGAGCGGGATCGTTATCGACGGGGTAGTAACATTTAAGGCTGATAATTATTTTCCTTTTTATTTATAATGTATTTGTAAAGAGGAGACAAGGCGGAGGAAGCTGTCGCAATGATCTAAGAAGCGTTGAAGTGGCGAATCGCTTATTGGATTAACGGTCTAATGGATAACTCCGGCGAATAGCTCTATACACGGTGCGTGTCCGTGCGTAAATTGAACAAATTATAGAAGAATGCCTTTGGTGTTTGTGGGTGGACACCCTATGCCCCTATAGCAGCAGCGGCTTTGTGACACAGGACGATGGTTCTCAAATCTTACACTTTCGTCCGAGAAAGTGCCATTCGGTGTGAACCGTCGTTCAACGTAAAATAATTTCGATCGCTTTGTAAAAATTATAATTCAATAACTATAATTATAAATTGATCTGAATTCAATTCATCTGTAACATTTATGCGTGACATTTATCTCTCTAACGGATGCAATTTCGCTGTGTTGATTATTTTTTTGTATAATTAACAATTAGCCGCTTGTCAATTTCAACGCGAGGGATATAAATGTGTTTTAATTGACATTCGTCGCGAAGGTGTGACATAATTAATGAGAAGCGTCGGCCAATTGCTATCGTGTGCAATATGAGCACCTCCCGATTCGTGCAACGGACAAGTGGTCATAATTACGTGCGATGATACATGTACGGGTGCATTTGGTGCGTGTGCGTGTGTGACGGTATTAAGATTGTACGGAACATGAATGACGTCTCAAAACGAGATCAGTGCTTCGTGAAGAAGCGAGGGAATCACGTGTATGAGAACGTGCGTCTTTTCAATGCGACTTTGGATTTTCCGCGCGGACAATTTACGTGTAATTGACGTGTAATTGACGTGTATTTTCTACGTGTAACAATTAACGCACGTGTAACATTGTTATTGAAAAATGATGACCTTTGTTTGGATACTTTACATTTTTATTATAGGTAACGTAGAAAATATATTATATATCGGCTATGAGGCATCTTGGAGAGCAGAAATAATGTAAAAAAAATAAAAATTATTAAAAATTTGGAATTTGTAAAGGTAATAAATCTCGATAAATGCGATATCTGGATATTTTTGAAGAAGAGTCGAGACACGACTCGGAAGAACGATAAAAACGCATGTTTTTTCGCTTCATCTTATCTCAAGCGGCAGTCACTTTTTCTCGCGTTCGACCTCTGTTAAAATACCACCTTCAGAGTTTCATAATTTGCAAGCGGATTAAGAGAGAGTGAGAGAGGAAAATGAATTGCGAACGTTACAAAGTCCTTGAGAGATGAGGAAATATTCATTTCTTAAAAGCCCTTTCTCTTCACGCGAGTACGGCCTCCGCGCGCCGCGCGGTTACTTACTTAATGATTGATTCAATTTTCACTTTATTGTTTTCCCACTTTAGATAATCGTCGCGATAACAAGGAACACGTTCGAGCAACCCAGTTTCCTCCTCGTGATCGAATCGACACGGTTAATCGGACTGAAATATCTTTCTCGGGGGTAGCAACGTAATTATAGCCGTATTTCCGTATGTGTGGATCGATTTTTTCGTGAGGGAAAACCGACGCCTTAACGTTGCTCGCCCACGCTGACGCACGTAACTTCGGCAATCGATTCGTTCGTCCAGGCGGCGTGTTTCCGCAAGTGCGTGAGCGGTGGCATAATTGCGCCGCTCTCTATAGTTTCGTTTTCGCAAGGCTGCCCAGCACGTTATGCAGGATCGATGGTAACCGACGGTGTTCGTCGTATAGTACAGTGATCGATCACGTAGAAAAGAAACAGATCTCCGCGCGCGCGTGCATGCTCGGGGGCTGCGGAAATAAATTTCCGCTCGGTCACTGCGCACGTGCGAGATAATACGGGAGTTTTCATGCTCCGAATCGAAAGAAAAAAAAAGAAAATGGGCCGGGAATGGCCAGGCACCAGGAGTGGGAACGCGATTTCGCAATGCGACGAACGGTGTATTATCTCGCTTGGCACGGTGATATTATCGTCAAAATGACAATTTAGTTATTATTACGTTATATTCCTGGACGTGTCTCTATGTATCTATGTATATGTCTATTACAGGCGCCCACGCAACGGCAAACCGCAACTTCCGAAGCTCCACCACGGTAAAAACCTACGAGAACGGCACGGTTTTGCTGCCTTGTCACGTGGAGGACCAGGGTATGTCGTTTGTTAACGATCGATTATGCGCTCCGCGTTTCTTCGTTTCTCTCCTCCGAGATGATTAATCGCTCGTTTCCCGTCTGCGTCCGCACCGTTTTTTCGCCCGTTTGTTTCGTCAACCTCGCGCGCATACGCGCGCGGTGTAGAATTACTATCCCATTTACAAAATTGCCCGGCATTCCCGGGCAATCGAACCGCAATCTCACCCCAGCGGGGTAACACAAACACGGGGTGTCTTTTGAAACGTCGTTATTTCTATCTACGCGGGCGTGCAAAATTAGGATAAAGTGGCACGAGTAAAAGGGGATATTTCCGCGCAGCTGCCACCGGTGCACTTTGTATCGCTGAGAGCGTTATAAATGAGTCGTCATGAATCTTGTTAAAGCCTCAGTTCATTAAGACAAACGTTGCTATCTAGAGTATTTGCA